TTCGCGGAATCAAACACATCCGCTCCCCTCCTTTTCCATCCACAAAGCAATGGGCAGGCAGAGCGTTTTGTGGATACGTTCAAGAGAGGATTGGTCAAATTGAAGAGGGAGGAAGCAGCATCAGATGCACTTCAAACTTTTTCATGACATACCGTTCACCATTTCCGAACCACAACAACTATCACCGGCTGAAAACTTTCTGGGACGTCGATTGCGCACACAACTGGACCTGATGATGCCCCCTCCAACGAGAACAATGTACAACGAGGCACCAAAATGGAACGACAATTCAACAAGCATCATGGAGCACGACGTCGCTACTTCAATATCGATGATGCTGTCTACGCCAAGGATTACCGAGGAGCAAAAAGCACATGGACGCCTGGCGTTGTCGTACGACGTCTAGGCAAGGTCACTTATCTGGTACGCTGTGGCAACTTATGGACACGACATGCAAATCAGCTCAAACCTCGTGATCACGCTCCCATAGTCGACCAACTGTCTGGACGTTTTCGACCTCGCTCCAGCTCCATGAGGAACGTACCACTCTCGCCGATCGAACGACTCTTGACAGTGTGACGACAACAACTTCGACAGCTCTTCGGTTTGGCTCTTCTTGGAATCAACCGCATTGACTTCCGACAGCATTGTTACTGCAGACGGTGGGCAGTACAGTTTGTCGTCTCATCGAATACCCAGCAGCTCTTAGATCTCGGTGCTGAGGTTCCGGAGTGTGAGTTTCTGGATTGGTCTCCAATTTGCGTAGAGCATGAGTGCGAATATCAGCGTATTCAGCAGCAGCCAGACCACAAATTCAAACAAGGCACTTCATGTGTTCCGGCGTTTTATTGTGCCCGAACAGCTCCTGTGGAGCCTTCACTGTTTCAGGGACAAAAATATCAGCGGCTTTTTTTGGCAGAATGGAGTTGATGAATCGTGCATAGGCTGCTGCATCCAGCTTTGACACGATAATCCGCGCCCTGGCAGCATCGTCGAGTGAGGCGCCATCTTGCATATGATATCCTCGTAGCGACTGTACCACAGGTCGAAGGTGCAGCCGCTTTCTGGATCGTGTGTGAATACCGGTAGACGTGAAGACAGCGAATTGATGACGAATTCTGCCGACGTTGTGTGGGCTGTCGGTGGGGCCATTGTCGTGAACATGCCCCTCATCTCCATCATCACGGCCTGCAGCATCTTCCTTGAGTCTCCGCTTGAGCTTCGAGGATGCCCGTAGAGTGTCCGCGTCCATGTCGAGTCGGCTGCACGGCGTAGCCGATCCTGATCGCCAGATGTAGCGGAGTCGAAGCAGAACGTTTATTAGAGAAACGTATACGGAGACGAATGATTACTAAGAAATCGGCGCCTTTTTATAGTGGTAGGCCCTGGTCAAACAATCTAGTCAAAACCTATAAGTAAAGATCAAATAGGTACGATTTGGGCGCCTAAATGCGATCATTTGCTGACAATGAGTGGTCACCGTATTACAAAACCTATTTCCATAGCACCATAATATCGCATTCTTCCATGAACGTAATGAACTCTTCATATTCCAGTATCTATTTCAAGCTGCTGATTTCAACGAAGTTTTAAAGATTACTATTACTCTCCGCTCCTTACGGGATGGTAGGCATGTTATTTCACAGGAACCGAAGTCCCTCAACAGATACGCCAGTACCAGCTTTGGGCAAAACATCTCGATAGAACAAGAAAGCAACCGCAATTTCTTTATGCGGAATGCCACGTGTCGATAGATCACAATCATGAGGGCTGATCATATCGATCCGGCGCAGATCACGAAGACAGAATACTGTTGGAACCAAAAACAAAATTTAGTACTGCTTCCCGTCTGGAGTGGTGGAGAACTGTAACTGTACCGTGTGTGGTACTTTTTCATTCGCTGTGCTCATTGTGAGAACTTGTATTGTTTCTATCATTTCGTGGAAGAATACCATATGTGCTCTTAAACCTTAAGATCCTCATTCATTGATGCAATCTCTGGAAACGGTTAGCCTTATGATAAAAGTTTTCAAAAGAAGTCACAAATAGAGAATCGCCGCCTTCCGTTGGCAAATAATCGAAAAACTAGGTGAAACGGCCAAACAGAAGTTTTTTGGGGGCTCATATCAAGTGTTTTGAACAAAAGCAAAAGTTTTCAAGAGTCAAGGATTCCAACATGCGACTCTCGTGTCTCTGAAGCAGTGCGCTTATCCACTAGGCCATCGGCCGCTTGCCGCATGCAGTTATCCTTCTCAACTTGTGCAAACTGAGCGCAAGATTAAATGGTCCGTAACTCCCTTCACAGAATCGTTCCGCAAATTTGGAGGAATTCAGCAGCTCATGACACGTCCATATATACACACCTCATTGCAAGTTGCCGGATCGACCTGTTGGGGTTTCCTTGCGAGAGCTTTCACAAAGCCTTAAGAATACCTGTCTACGGAAACGTTAGAGAGTATTCTCCACCAATTAGGCGCAGAAACATTAAAAATTTGTTTCGGTTTCTCCTAGAGCAATTCGTTCAAAGTTTTGCAGGACTTTATTTTTCGACCTAATACTAATCGAACTGAAACCACGACAATTCACGATTCTTTCACGACAATAAGAAAAAAGTATGAGATAGATAGTAGAAGTCCAAGCCTTTACGGGCTAGCCAAAAGAATGCATCATCCAAATTTTCGATTTAAAGATAGAAAATGCTGCTCGTCTCCGCTTTTGTTCAACATCTACTTCATGAATTTGGAACATTTCGCCCTTTCTTCGTCGCGTTAAAAAGAAAAGGATTTCCTAAGGTTTAGGCGCTACAGTAATTACACTTCATGTTGGGACGTGATTTACAACCGCCTCCGCTGTTGGAGGAGAAGTCCCTTGAATCTTTGTGCAACATGAGTAACTATTTTTAAAAATTCTGTGTTTTCTTGTTGAATCAAACTCTTCAAGATATTTATTTAGATATCCTTCAAGTCACTGATATCCTTCAAGTCACCATATGTCACGTAATGGTCATTCAGTCACATCCTATAGTGCAGTGATGATCTCCACACTTGCTCGCAGCTCCTCCCTGTTGTTGATTGGAGGGCGCCTTCGTCGTATTTCCAATGCCTCTTTTATCTTCCTTTCCACCGGGTCGCAAACGTTCTTGTGAAGGACGCGGACCTTTATCTGGGGCGTGCTCTCGTGAGTGTGCCGTAAAGAGCGGTGTCGCGAGAAAGGGTTCTCCGGATAACTGCTGGGATTCCGGAGAGCCCTTAGATGTTCGTCCAGCCTTTTGTAAAGAGGGCGTCCACTTTCTCCTATGTAAAATTCCGAGCATGACGCACTCTACTTCATAGACGGTGTTCTTCAAAAGGCATATTTTCCGTTCTTCTTGGCAGTAACAGCAGTTTGCACGGCCACACAGATCTTCATATAGTCGAGAGGATGTGAGCAGACGGCGCAGCGTTGATGGTGGTCGGAATATCAGGCGGATCGGCATCCCAGACCTCTTCACCACTCGGTTAACATCCTTCGCAAAGGACTCGGAGAGGTATGGTATTATGAGTGGGACGCGGCCCGGCACCTGATATGGGCGCCAGCAAGCATAGGGGAGCTCACCTACCGTTGGTGAATGGTCTCGAGATGGAACTACCTCGTGGTAAAGAGGACGATGATGCAAACGGCAAGAATAAGTAAGCCGGGTAATGTCTTTGCGAAAAGGCACATGAAGAGGTATTTCAGTTGGAAAACCAGTCATCATCAGTATGGTAGTCGTAGTATCGCTTTGGCTATCAGCCACAGCTATTCATAACCCATTTTCTCGAAAATGAGTTAGAACCTCGGATTCCGCTGGGGTGACGTCTCTAGGGGTTATTTGACCCCCTGAACACGAATATGATACCTGTTTTGCGCGAAGAGCGCTGTGAGTTGCGCTACAGGTGCTAACGCTTTGGCGCTGGCGCGCCCGGAAGAAGAAAAGCAATAAAGAAAAACCTCACAACTCCGCTCAGAGAATCGTTCCGCAAATTTTAAAGATAGTCTTGTGTTCATCGTGGCAAGATGAGTACAATGATGTACATTTCGTTGCAAATGGCCGGGCTGACGTGTTGGCCTTTCCTGGTCAGCTTGTGCAAACACAGCAAAGATTAAATGGTCCGTAACTCCCTTCAGAGAATCGTTCCGCAAAATCGGAGGGCAGATTCGGATTCAGCGGCTCAAGACACGTCCATACGTATACATCTCATTGTAAATGGCCGGATCGACCTGTTGGGGTTCCCTTGTAAGGGCTTTGCGGAATCCCAGCAGTTATCCGGAGAACCCTTTCTCGCGACACCGCTCTTTACGGCACACTCACGAGAGCACGCCCCAGATAAAGGTCCGCGTCCTTCACAAGAACGTTTGCGACCCGGTTGAAAGGAAGATAAAAGAGGCATTGGAAATACGACAAAGGCGCCCTCCAATCAACAACAGGGAGGAGCTGCGAGCAAGTGTGGAGATCATCACTGCACTATAGGATGTGACTGAATGACCATTACGTGACATATGGTGACTTGGAGGATATCAGACGACATCACTCTTACCCTCCCCACCACCGATCTAGCTGCTTCATTTCTGCAAGAGTGGACAGCTAGATAGGTGAGTCCTCGCCATATGCCTTCCCCCTTCCCCCTCCCGCGTCCATCCAATAGTACTTGCAGTGATTCACGTGGCTCCCGGGAAGAACCCGTTCCCTGGACCAAAACCACTTGCTATTCGGTTAGTCGCATATTTCGTATCGCCAATAGTTTCTTGTTCAATTTAGCTAGAAGTGATGCCTAAGTGTGATCGGTAGATATTATATTGTATATATTGTAGGCCTGAAGAAGGGCTTAAGGCCCGAAACGTTGCTAAATAAATATCTTGAAGAGTTTCATTCAACAAGAAAACACAGAAGATATTAAACCATGAAACTCAGGAATCCTATGATACTATTTTTAGATTGTGGATGTCATCCAGTTGGGTCACTTAGCAAGAGTTGCAATCAAATGACAGGGCAGTGTGTATGTAAACTTGGCGTGACTGGACTAACCTGCAATAGGTGTGCAAGGGGCTACCAGCAGAGCAGATCCAGTGTCACGCCATGTATAAGTAAGTTCTGCTGCCTATATTAGAAAGCATTTTATGAACAGCTACACCGCTATTGTCATGCAATATACCCAATGGTATGATTTAGGAGTTTCGGTTAAGAGCGGCGGTGGCGGCAGAATATCATCTGAACAAGGTGGATTTGCGTCGATCAAAGACCGAAATGTAGTGAATGTTAATTATGCACTAGTTCCAGGGGAATGTCAAAAGTGCAAGGTGACTGTGAAGAAGCTCAATCAAAGAAAGTTTTGCAAACATAATTACGGTATGTATTTCCCCTTGTCCACAATTGAACGATGGGAGAACTGACCTGTTTAGTCTTCCAAATACTTGTTGCTGGCAAAGAAATGGTCGATAACTGGGCAAGATATCACATAGTCATCGAAAACGTTTTCAAGAGAGGAACGCATGGTTACCGGAGTGGTACCTCTCTATGGATCTCACCTCGATCGGTCTGGTGCAAGTGTCCGAAGATCCGCACAGGCCGTCGCTACGTCATTCTTGGTGAGTAACATCTGAAACTGAGAACGTTACTCCATAAGTTCGGAAAGGAAGTGAAAGGGGCTTCTCTCTGTTGTATTGTATTCCTCAGTTGGAGGTAGGGTTGCACACTCTCTGTGACTCCTTCTCCGTATCCATATCCATAGCACTTTTTCATAAGTCATTGGCTTATCCGAAGCACATTAAAGACAGCTCCCGCGATAAAAGTCTCATGGATAGCTGCTTTCCAATTATGAAACAGTAGCTGATAAGTAATCTCCCAAAGAAGAAAACAGGCAAGAAGCGTCCTCCAGAACAACATAAACAAAATCGCTCCCTCACAGTCACACCTCCCTGCGGTCTCTGTGCAACCCCTAGCTCACAAATCTCTCTATCACATCTCGCAGTAGTTGATATCATCCAGTGCAAAAAAAAGAATACAAAAAGAAAACAACAAAAACGCAGAGGAAAAACTCTTGGAAGGAAAAAGGAATTTTATCAACGCGGTGTGAATTTGGGATTACGGTAGCGCACGTTTTGTGCGTCGAGGTTTTGCATCACGAAAATTGCGTCACTCGTGCTTTTTACGCGTTTCACCTCGCGAAATGAGTTGAATTGAATGTATATACCTCCAATGAGTAAACTGTAATAAGGGGAGCAGAATTATCCATGGGCATTAGCAATGCCCGCCGCCCCAACTAAGAACAACTGAGTGGCCTCCGTCGGAGGACATCTAGCAAGTAAGGCGGTCCAACTGAGCAGGCGTTAGAACTAGAACTTACAGCGGCTGTAGCTCGCTTCTCGCTCGCTGTGCAGACGAATAGAGTGGGACAGTCTCTAGCTTGGGGGCTGTACTACTTGCACAAGGAAGGACGACCATGTACTACTCGAGCGCGGGGGCTGTCTTTAAAGGGGTGTGTGACAAACGTTCATGCTGCAAAGATTTCAGGGCGTTTCATCACTGAGGCGGTTACCGACCTCGCTACTGAAAGGTTTCTCCCTTGTATTTACCCCTCGTGCCTCCGTTGAGAAAGTTCGCTAGTCAGAATATAACTTTTGGAAAAGCACGATGTAAAAAGAGAGGTATTTGGAGGGAAGATGAGATGGGCCGGACTTACATGATTGTTGAAATGCTATTAGCTATTTTACTCTCTCCTCTTCTCTTTTCCATTCCACGGCTTTCGTGAGTTACGACTTTATTTGAGAACAGCGGTGGCTGTCTTTCTTCCTCGCAAATTTTCCTGTAAACACAAGTTAATAACATGGCCCTTATGAGCATAAATAATATCATATAAACATGAGCAACGATTGGAGGCCAGGGCACATCGTTGGTTGGGGGATCCCCAACAGGGGGGTCGTATTTGGCCGCCAGGA